GCTGTTAAAACATCTTTCTAAAGCATGGCCCACTCCTGAGATGCTTTGACCAGCCTTCATATTCTTCACGTGTGGCCTCCCTCCACCCTGCAAGTGACCAGAAACATCTCCCTTTCCCAGAGGTGCTGCTCCCTCCCTGTACATGGTGCACATGGTGGTCACTATTGCCATGGGCAAAAGAGGTTGCAGCAAAATTGGGCAGGAGCTAAAATCTTGTTCTCTCAAAATCTTTGCAAATGTTGGATACTACTGGTAACTGCTGAAAATTTTCTTGGTTTGGGGCAAATATCTCATTAAATGTCCACGATGCATGTACTATTTTTGTGATCATTTTTAGAGTGCATATTTTAATACAGCCATAGGGATTAAAATACCAAACCAAGAATGTGGTAAATGGACTTCTGGACCTGTTTTCCCACCAACAGATCATATAAAAAACATCATCACCCATTCTTTAACATTAAGTAACAATAACTCAGTCTACACTGCTGGGTTGCTGACAGTAATTTACAATCTAATGAATGTGAATATAGCAAGTCTGTATAGTCAGAGGGACAGTTTTGTTGTCAATGTCCTTTTAGGAAGAACAATATGTTTATGAGGTCATAGAAAGGTAGCAAATTAGCCAAATGAGCATTAGTAACTGTATTTGTCTAGAAAACTAAAATTTTACTATTTCTTCTAGTAATGGCCTGTTGGGTTAATAATATCCCTCAGTTACTGTGGACTAATCAGGTCCACAATCTCCCAAACAAATGTACAGTGAAGGCTAAATAAAAAGAGGCAAATGGAGTGATTTCAGGGCTCCAGAAGGATCAAAATCTTCTCACAGAATTTGAGATTCTCTCAGGGCTAAGACCAAGACCTTCTCTGGGTGGCCCATATTTATTTGGTTATCAGAAGAAGAGAGGGGAGTACTGAAGAAGGGTGGAATTACTCAAGGACTTCTCCAAGTAAGGTATTAAATTAACCTTTAATAAGGATTAAGTCAACCCACCCAGGAGTGAGATGCCTGAGGCTATAGTCTTTATCTAGTTGAGATCATCCAGGTGTCCTTGGCTGTGATCTTGTCTTATCTTTTGAGGATTTCCAACTTTGTCTGCCATTACAGTTTTAGTAGGGATTAGTGACTCACAGAGGGTCACTTACTATGAGCATGTTGCCCACTTCCAGAGAAGTGGCCTAGGCTTTGGACAGATTCACAAGTAAACATAAAAAGCCAATTGGTTAATTTAAGTCCTGCTTTGTAGTGGTGTCCATTAATTGCCTATAAACAAAACATTGATATTCTGCTCTGGGTGGGAAATCCAGCTGTCAGTGGATAAGTTCAGAACCCAGAGGATATGTCCCATTGTATTCCTTTTTTTTGTTGTTGTTTTTTTTTGGTTTTTCTCCGGTACCGGGAACCGAACTCACGACCTTGCACTTGCCAGGCAGGCGCTTTTGCCGCTGAGCTAAATCCCCAGCCCCCCCATTGTATTCCTAACCCTGGGATATGTCTGCATTACTCAAGTGATGGTCAAGAAATCAGAAAAAATACATGTTAAAAGCACTCTCATGAAAAATTTCACAGGGTGCTCAAAGTTTTCAGATCTCCCAGAAGAAATGCCAGCACCCATATCCCCTCTCTCAGCAGACATTTCAAGATAGGCTTTGTATCAGGTACTGTTTTGGTACTGGAACTATAGAATGCAGTATGATATGGCCCTACCCTCAGGAATCCTCCAGTCCAATGGAAGAAACGAAGGGATACACAGCATAAGGGTTGTGGTAGACATGAGTAATTAAAATAAACTACCTCCAATGACATGATGGGTTCACTTTGTTGAGTTCTGGTGAGTGCCCAAGATTCAGGCTAAGGGTATTACACTCAAAATCTTGGGGTGCCTTGGGGATCCTCTCATCTGTATGCAGTAATTTTACCACACATGGTTTACGAGCTAAATTTATATTTCCTTCAAGGCTAAGCAAAATTATGTGAATGCATTTTGATATTATGACTGGAGGGTTCATTGTCCATGGTTCCTATTATCATGAATCACTTTTCATAGTTTTGGGTAAGGGAATAGGGGAAAATAGTTCTCAGATTTCATACAGCTTTTTAAAAGAGTCAAAGCCTATTCAAATCAGTTGACGTGAGCAGGCACTGGGCCAAGCCACTACCCAGCTCCACCTGTCTCTGTGGAGAAGGACATTCTCTAGTTACTCTTTCAATGTATTGCCTCAGGCCTGACCAAGCCATGATTGTTGGGTTCTGGGGGAAGTCTAGCAAAAGCATTGGTGGAAAGGAAGAGATTGCAGAACCTGTGTCCTTGTGGAAAGCTACAAGATCAACACTAAATGCTTTGCTGAGATATGTCCGAAGGAATGATAACATGATGGCTAACTAAGTCTTATTTGTGTGATAATTGAGTTGTATTGTCTTTGTTGATGTTCTCCCATTTGTCCAGCTGCTTCCTTTGTTTTTTCTCAATAAAGAGTTACTGAAATTGGTAATGGAGCCCACAGTCCAAGAGGCTGTAAGCCTGAGCCCAGAATTATGCCTCTCTTGTTTTTCTTGTTTCTCTTACTTTTCTGTTCATCTGTGGGTACCTCGTTCTCGGGACCGGTTCACCCTGGACAGAAATGGATTAATAATACGACATGTCCCCTTAGTCCTGACCCCCTTTTCTGGCCCCATGAAGAATGTCAGTCATGCTGAATCCCCTGTAACTGAGCTTGTGGCACTAACAGCAGCAAATAAGTGCCTGTAGAATGAGAGAAACTAATTTCTCCTGTGTGCTAAGCCAAAGTTTCCTATTTCATTAAAGGAATTATTTGTTTACTTTCTATTACTCCAGCAGAGTGAACAACTTTAGTACCAAGTTCATACAGCTATCCTGTAAGACATTCATCATCATCATCATCATCATCATCATCATCATCAAAAACTCCTGCGTGGACAATTAAAGGGCAATTTAAAAGGGTATCCTTCCCTATCAAGAGTCCCTTTTGGTCTCCTCTCCCCTAACGGGATTAGTGACCTCAGCGCTGGTGGACTTCAGCCCAACCTACCTTTGCACAGTACACATACAACAGGACAGCAGTCCTCCATAGGTCCTTTAGTCTAACAATTTTATTTTAGCTTACAGGGTACACTAACTGTTCTACTAAACAATGCTAATGTTAAAAGGATCATTTTACTGGTAGGATTATCATTTCTTTTCTTGTGTACACTTTTCTTTATAAAATGTTAAATGTAGGCTTAATACTATATTCTAAAAACTCTCAAAAGTAAACAACTTGCAAATCCTGATGTTAAAGTTGATGTCGTTCTGCTGTCCTAGTAATTTTTATTTCTAACTTTTAAAGATTAAGTGGTTACACTTCTTTACCTCATCCACCTTCTTTTTGCTGACCCTTACCCCACACCAAATAAAATTCTTCTACAAAGCAAACGACTTCTCGTCCTTAACACCAGGCGCTAAAGCCCCCTAAGCCGCCTTCTGTGCTCCACAGTTGCTTTGAAATGAGACGACACAGTTTCTGCACATCCAGCCTGTGAAAACGTTCACTCGGGCTGCGTCTGCCTGTTGTCACCTGCGGGGACTTCACAGACTTCGCTGTACCTGGCAGAGGCGTACACAGATCTCAAGGGTCTGCGGCATTCAGGGAAATACTTGTGATGCATCCAAAGTGCTCCTTAGGGCTGAATTTATGTTAATTTGATGTTTTGCAATTCCAGTTACCCGGGAGTTAGCCAGCTGTAAAAAAGACAAGGTTAGGAAGCCAGTTCCTGAGGGACAATTACGGAATGCTTCATCAGAGAAAGCAAGTTTGCTATCCTTAACCTCAGGAATGATCCTGAGAAATCAGGGCGCAGGGCAGGCGGGACGGCCATCGGGATGCACGCAGCGCTGAACAAGCTTTTGTGGAGGGCAAGCCTTAGCTAGGGAGGAGCGGCGTTTTCAGGGTGCCCGGAGGAGGGCGCGGTCCCGGGCGCACCGCCCGCCGCGGACTGGATGTTCGGAGGTGTCAAATCGCAGAGCGGAGCAGCGGCTCCAGGTGTGCGAGGGGTGCGAACTGGTGGTGCTGCAAGGCCGGCGCCGCCCGCCCACTTTGCGTAACCACTGCATCCGAACAGAACACTGAAACGCGCCCGTCCTCCGCCCGGACGGTTTTACACGTAACATTAGCATTAGCAAGGACCGTACGGTGCAGATTTGGACACATTTGAGACCGTTTTCTCCTCCCCGGGGTAAATCAGAAAGTTACAGGGCGCCGCTTCCTGTACTGGGGATTGAACCCATTGCCTTAGCACTGAGCTCATCCCCAGCCCTTTCTTATTTTTTTTTATTTTTTATTTTAAAACAGGTCTTGCTGATTTGCCCAGTTTGGGCTCGAACTAGCGATCCTCTTGCTTTGGCCTCCCAAGTGTTTGGAGATTACAGAAGAACACGCTGGGCCCCGCGGAAGGTGCCCACCCCTCCTTACCCAGAGTGGGGCGCCCCGAGTCGCAGCGGGAGACAGCGGTGCATCGCATGCCGGCGCAGGGTCCTCTCCCAGGTTCCCTGACGGTCCCCACCGCCGCCCTGCACACCTGGGTTCTTAATCTGGGGAGGTCTGGTAGAAGGGGTGCGGCGCGGGGGCGCTCGGAGAAGAAGGCGTTGTTCTTGGGACTAAAGATGCGCCGCCAGGGTCCTAGCAGTGCAGCAAGGAGCGGGGCCGTGGATCTGCGCGAACTCGGTTCAAGTGCGGGGCTGGGCCGCTTGTGGGAATAGTGGCGCGGGCGGGGGGGTCAGGGCGGGCCGTTCGTGGACCCCAGGAGCAGCGATCGGCCCCCTCCAGCGGCCCCTCCCCCAGCCCGCCCAGTCCCCC